AAGTCTAAAGATTAATATTAGGTCACCAAATTCAAAATTAACGTAATAGATCATTTTATGGCAAATAAGTTTATTAATAAAGTATATCTATAATATTGGTGACAACAGAATGAACATGAACTTCTAAATATTTAAATATCTTGATGTGACCACACAATTTCCATTTTACAACCAATTACAAGTTGTGAATTTGGCAATTCTTGAGTTGCCGAATTATATCAAAGGTTTGTGCAGTTTTCCCAAAAATATAGTCTGTGGGGTATCGGTGTGCGCAGCGATCATATAGATAAATGGTTTATCAGCCTTAAAAACACTTGGTATAATGAAGGATTCAAGCATTATGATGACTCCTGGAATATAATCAGAGTAAACGCGATTATTCGCAGTTAGTTTTCATTTTAAGTTTGTTAAACTAATCCACCTCACATGCACACACAATGAGTTTCTTGCAATAAAATAAATTATTCATGGGTAAATTCATATATTTATTTCCAAAGAATTATATTAATATAGTTATTTTTTGGCCGTCGCTACTTTGCCTTCAAATAAAATTGTTTGTTTGTAACGCAGAATAAACACGAAGGGATGGTTGGCAATAAACGGTTCTGGTGGCCGTGGCATCGACAGGAGTACTATGCCAGCAGCTAAAAATGGTGAAATACATTAAATAACAAATATATATGTACTTATTTATTGTGCCAAAAAGAACTACAAGCTATAACCCAAATATTAATATTAAATATACCCATATTCGACTTCAACGCCAATTCTAAAATAATCAAATAATACAGGTTTGAGATAATTAACAATTAATTCACTACTTTTTCCGATGTCATATACGTGATGTTTCTTTTGTAGTGTCAGTTACCGGGGTGGTATTTTATTAATTTTAAATTGGGTTAATTTTTTAAAGTTTGATCAATCGTAGCAAATATTCTTCTTCTTCATTCGTTTTTCGAAGAAATCATATTTGTTTTAACTAGCTACATAGGTACTTTAAATATGTATAATTTATGAAAATATAACAACCTCTAACTCAAATACATATTATAGCACTTGAGCTTAAATTGTGAGACACATTTGAGTTACTGTATAAAACAACGCAGTAATATCATTTAATACATGGATACAACTCAAATTTCGAACAAGAATCATTCATTTTGATACATTGCTTATATTTGCTTTATAGTTATTTAAATTTAAGTTTCATGTAATTTAAAGGACAGTACATCTTTGATTATTTAAAAATGTTGTAAGAAATTAACGATCACTTTTTTTCAAATAACAGTCAACCTAAATTGTACTATTTTGTATTTTCTAACTTAGACATGAATAGAACCTTGTTGTCGAAGACCAACAACGAAATAAAGGCGTGATTAGCACGGAAATTCTTTTTCGGTTTGAAAGATGTAAAGGATACCAATGAGCCTACAACAAAATAATTCATTTTTAAAATAGAAGAATTTGATACAAACATGTTCGAGAATTAGGTTTCATGCGAGAGTTTAAAAATAATATTTAGAGTAAACTGAAGTTTTAATGATAAAAGTTGAATCCCATTTCCTGCACCAATACCAACTAATTCATATTTTGTAGCTTAGACACATATAAGACGTTATTTTCAAAAACCAATAGAGAGATAAAGCCGTGATCGGCACCGAAAATGATTTTCCGTGGTTCATACCCTGGGGCAGCACCACGCTCCATCATCATAACTGTTAATATAAAGACATGTTTTTTATTTAGTATGTTATGATAAAGTGTTTCAAACTTTAATTTCATGCTCTTGTGAACCAAACAATAGTGTGTTCGTGTATTACAAGGGTAATAAACTGTGCTGGAGAATTCTTTCTGTCAAAATTATATATGACTTATAGTTTTTGTTATATAATAAGCTGTTGTCTTTTTTTATTTCAGTATAGTAATATAGTTTTGCAAGTCGAGTGTCAATTCATACGCTAATTCATATTTTGTAGATTAGACATGAACAAATTGTCATTTACAAAAATTAATAAAACACAAAATAAGATCAATTCCGTGATTTGTACCCAGGCGCAGCACCAGGTATCGTAATCACATTCTACACATCTTCACTACATCAAAGATTGTTTTAAAACATGAAAAATTGTATTCAGTATGTAATTTAATGGCGTTTATTAAATTTTAGTTTCATGCATGATAAATCTGCGATCAGTGCTGAAAATCTACTCTTTCAGCAGAATAATCTTATATAAGAAAAAGCTTAAAAAAATTGAACCGAAAAGTAGAAATCGCAACCATTATACGTTTGTTTATTAATGGCGCAAAATAGACATGATCGAATGGTTGGCAAAAAACGGTTTGGGCTTAATATACATCAACATGACATTAAAAAGTAAAAAAAACTTAAGTCTAAAGATTAATATTAAGTAGATTCGAAATTTACTTAATAGATCTTTTTTCGTGTAAATAAGTTTATTACTAATAAAGTATAGTATAGTATCTATAATATTGGCGACAACAAAATGCAGTTGAACTTCTAAATATTTATATTTCTTAATGTGGGCACACAATTTCCATTTTACAACCTATTACAAGTTGTGAATTAGTAAATGCTTGAGTTGCCGAATTACGTCGAAGGTTTGTGCAGTTTTCCCAAAAATATAGTCTGTGGGATATCGGTGTGTGCAGCAATCATATAGATAAATGGTTTATTAACCTTAAAAACGCTTGGTATAATTAAGGAATCAAACGTTATGATGACTCCTGGAATATAATCAGAGTAAACGCGATTATTCGCAGTTAGTTTTCATTTTGAGTTTGTTAAACTAATCTATCCCACATGCACACAGAATGAGTTTCTTTCATTCAGTGATGAAAATCTACTCTTTCAGCAGAATAATGCTAATAATGATGGTTATTGGTGAATGTTCATTCCGAGAATCACATATAGGCAGATTATATTTAAACAATTATTGTCGAATATCTTTTAATCGATGTCTGAATTAAAATAATTAGTGATAAAACAGTTCATTTTTTAAGTTTTTTTTGAAAAAAGTAATGAATTATGAAAAAATGGCGAATGCGCCTGACATTTTGAAGGGTAATATAATTAATTAATAAAAACAAACTACTCCATTTTGTATGGGAGCTCTTAATTATACAATTTAAACAACTTTTCACATAATAACACTATGAGTTTTTCTGCAGATGTCAATAAGTAAAACGTGTATTCACATAGATATTTAATAATCAATTATCTCACTAAGCCCTTTTAGTTCTCGAGATAATCGCAATTTAATCACACTGCTTTCACGGGAAAAATTAAAGAAAAAAGTCCGACCCTGTTGTTCGACCGAAAAAAGTTTTAACAAAAAAGTTCGACCCAGTTGTTCGAACAAAAATATTTTCAGAAAATAAGTTCGACCCTGTTCTTCGACCGCAAAAAATTTAACAAAAGAGTTCGACTCTGTTATTCGACCAAAAATGAAATTTATTGAACAAAACAGCAATATTCTAGGCGTATTTTAAGACACTTCCCCAGGATTAATAAAGTTAAAAAAGTATGCATAGGGTAGAGGGACTCTCGAACTTCAACAAGAAACTTAAAAAAAATAGTTTGTTTAAAAGAAACAGAGCGATTTCCACATCATGTTTTCAAATTTTCACAAAATTGCCCAAACATAAATGTGAAGCTAATATAAGGCATGTAAAAATAAGGGTAGTTTCGGTCGCTTTTAATCAATCTCGGGACCAAAAATCCGTTTAGCCAATTGATACTTAATTTGTTGTATGCAGGTATTTGGTACACCAAACCCCATCATCACAAATACCACAAAAATAATGATACTTATTTTAAAAAGGAAATTAGTAATAACTTTATAATTTCATTTATTGTAATATACTATTTCACACATCACCATTATGTATTTCAATAGAATATTATATTTTAATATTTTATATTCATAAATGTTAAACTTTGGTTTCATGCAGTTTTGAGACAAATAAAACATTATTTTCGTGAACTAAAAGTGTAATAAAACTGTGATCGGCGCGGAAAACCGGTGTCGGTGCTGGATGTAACACCAGCGAGTAGGCCTTCATCAACACAACTGAAAAATATTCAATTTTAATCAATTTTGAGTAATCAAGTTTTCAAGTTTCGCTAAATGCAAAATTGTGCAACTTGTGTATGATGCTTTGAAAATGTTTACTTTCAACGTATATTCCCATTGGTAAAAGAACATTGAACGTACATTAACCATTCTATACGTTGAATAATGCGCAATATTACTATTAGCTAACGACCGTACCATTTAAATAAATGTAGAAGTACATTTGTTGTACAGGTGTATGCAAGATGCCGCTAAGCAATAAAAATGCCAAATCCGCCACAAAGATTAATCTTAGGAGGAATCGCAATTTCATTAACAGTTCTATTATATTCGTATTGAGAAGTTTAAATACAAAACGTATCTATAATACGTGACAATATAATGTAGTTGAAGTTCTAAATATAAGATATCTTAGCACACAATTCGCATTATAAAAGGAAATGCAAGTTGTGAAATTATTATATATTTGAGTTGCCGAATTATATGGAAGGTTTGTGCAGTTTTCCCAAAAATATAGTCTGTGGGGTATCGGAGCGCGCAGCGATCATATAGATAAATGGTTTATCAGCCTTGAAAACACTTGGTATAATGGCGGATTCAGTCATTATGATGATAGCTGGAATATAATAAGAAAAAAACGCAATTATTTGCAGTTAGTTTTCATTTTGAGTTTGTTAATACATCAATATCCCATGCATACGGGAAGAGTTTCGGACAATAAAAATAAATTATCCATGGGTAAATTCATTTATTTACTTTCAAAGAATTTGGGCCTGTTTGCCTTTAAATATAATAGTTTGTTTATGGCGCAAAATAAACGTGCAGGCATGATTCGCAATAAATGGTCGTGGTAAAAATGTCAAATATAAATTATAATCCAAAGATTAATATTAAATAAACCCAAAATTGACTTCAAAGCCATTTTATTAGTATAACTTAATATATGTGACACTTATGACAAAACTAACTTTACTTTTTAAATAGTTTTGATGCATCCTTGAAATAGCATTGTATCTACGGATTCGTCAGGACTGTGAAAGATAAGTGCGAACACGAATGAGTGATCCGCTCTGAATTCTTCTTCAATCGCGGCTTTTAGCACCACAGTCACTCCTACAAACACATAAATGTATCTTTACAATTTCATTTTATAATCAATACGAAAAGTTAGACACAAAGCAGAAGAGTTGCTTTAATCTCAAATAAAGAAAGAGTTATAAGGGCAGGCGTCTAAACTATTACAGTAGAATCTTGATAACTCGAATGTCAAGGGAAACCAAAAAAAATTCGAGATAGCAAGTGTTCGACTTAACAAGAATTTCGAGGTATGAAGAGTTAACTCATCAAATTTCGACATAAAAAGGCACAATTTCATAGAACATTTATTACGACAAATTACATTAGGTAACATAAAATGAAAGTCAAGAACATAATTATAATGAATGAACTTACACTGTATGTTTTAAATAATTGATAAAAAATCTGTTATCTTCGTTTGATTCAAGCCATTTACAGATTTTTTATCGATTATTTTTTCTAGTTCATATAGTGAACCGAATATATGATACTCGATATCATTACATCTTTCAATGTAAGTTCGTAGTGTATCAATTGCTGTATTGTACTCATGTTGTTGCTTGTTAACAGCCAAACAAATATGTACTGACTGAGCCAAGTAACCAAAAGTGACCAAAAATGAAGAAACATAACATCTGTGTTTCTTAGAAATTAGTAAGTTTATTGAATGAATTCATTCCTTGCACGTGTGCAAAACAAAAACAATAGATAAGAGGCCCCGAGCCCCGAACATTCCTTTTTGATTTTATTGCCACGAGTTTTAAGCTCCGGGAATCCCGAGTTTTGAGCTCCGGGAATCTCGAGTAAGAAATCATAAAATTTTATGAACTTCGACTTACTGAGGTAGTATTTGCAGTTCGAGTTACTGAGTATTAAAATGTACGAGTAATACCTCACAGGGAAATAACTTATTGTTCGAGTTACTGAGTCTAAAAAATTCGAGTTAGTGCGTCGTTCGGGGTTCAGCGGAAGGGAATAGCATATCTTTTCGAGTTACTGAGGATTACGACTTAACAAGGTTCGAGTTATCAAGATTCTACAGTATTACAAACACAGATCATGCAATTTCAAGAAGAAAATATATTTTTCTACTTTCAGCTTTAAAGCGTCAGTTTTTCCACAGTTTTAAGACACGAAAAGTGGCACTTTAATCACGGTCGAGCAAGGCCGTGACTAAAATACATTAGCCACAGAGTAGAGCTTGCGCCTGCGCAAACGCGGCACGGCGTATTTTGTAATCTCACATTTCACACTAGTGTGCGAAAGAAGTTTAAAAATACAAAAGCATAAATATTGTTCGTTTTAACTACATATTTAACACATATATGATTAATAAATATATAATAACCTCTAACTCCACTACATATTGTGGCACTTTAGAGCCTAAATAGTGTATACTCTTGATGCAAACAGCACCAACAATTTTTTGCTTGAAGAAAACAATTTCTTACGAAATTGCACATGCTGCACCAGTAGCACAATGAAGCTGTGATCGGCGCTGAAAATTCTTGGAGGTATAGCTCCCAGAGAATAGTAAATTACTTTTTCTATAAAAAATAAATAATAATTTTCTCGTGTTATTTAATTCATCTTTGATATTATTTACAACAGCGAACTCACATCTAATGCGACAAATATTGCGACGAGCTTAGAAAGTAGGAATGAGCATTTATAGACAAATATAAAAGAAGCAAATTTGCGACACTTTTGAGTTACTGTATAAAACAACGGAGTAACATCATTTTAATGCGTGGATACAACTCTTAATTTTGAACAAGAAACACATGCATATTTAAGACAGCAGTATATTTATATAGATTATTGTTTTGATACATTGCTTATATTTGCTTTACATTTAATGCTTCACAATTATTTTAATTAAAGTTTTATGTAATTTAAAGAACAGTACATCTTTGATTGTTTAATAATGCCGTAAGAAATCAAACATCACTTTTTTTTAATAACAGTCAACGTAAATTGTTCTATTTTGTATTTTCTAACTTAGACATGAATAGGACCTTTTCATCGATGACCAACAAAGAAATAAAGGCGTGATCGGCACGGAAAATCATATTCGGTTTGAAACCAATTAAGGATGTAAAGGATACCAATACAGCTACAACAAAATAGTTCATTTTTAAAGTAGAAGAATTTGATTCTAAAATGTTCTATAATTTGGTTTCATGCTGCAGTTTAAAAATAATATTTAGGGTAAACTGAAGTTTTAATGATAAAAGTTAAACCCCATTTCATGCACCAATACCAGCTTATTCATATTTTGTAGCTTAGACACATATAAGACGTTATTTTCAAAAACCAATAGTGAGATAAAGCCGTGATCGGCACAGAAAATGATTTTCCATGGTTCAAGTAAGTGATAATAATTTTTTTTAAACAAATTATGAATTATGAAAAAATGGCGGATGCGCCTGACATGTTGAAGAGTAGTATAATTATAATCTTTAATTAATAAAAATGAACTACCCCATTGGGTAGGGGAGCTCTTAATTATCCAATTTAAACAACTTTTCACTTAATAACACCAAGGGTTTTTTCTGTAGATGTTAATAAGTAAAACGTGTATTCACATAGACTTAAGAATCAATTATCTCAAGAACTAGAAGAGATAAACAAAAACCGAAAACACTATAATGCTTAGTATGATATTCTAGGAAAGATAACGTTTAAAAACTTTCCAATATAACATATGCCTAAAAAAAATTCCACCGCAATATTCTCAGAAAATAATACAGTTAGAAAAAAACTTTTTTCATTTTGTTCCGGTCGTGATAAGGATCTACAAAATGGCAGATTTAGTTTTTCCAATTTCCAAAGTTGACCAAAAACGACTCGAAAAGAATCAAGAGGTTACACTTGACTCTTTTTGGGCTCAAAAATATTTCTTTCCGCTAAAAGAAAATCGAAAACGCTAATTGATTGAGTTTTCCAAGAGGATAAAAGATATGATGTCAGTTTTCCGATAACATTAATATTTCGGAAAATGGGTGGTAAATTCAAAACTTATAAAATAAAACTACTCTCCAATTTTCCCCAAACTTTCCAAACTGATGAAAAACAATGCCAGGAATCTATTAATCCAGGTTTGGTTGCGCTATCTTAATTCGTTTTTAAGTTATTGGCCATTTTTAATTATTACATAAGTGTTGACAACTGTAAATTTTAACGTGTTATATAATGTAAAATTTAATTCTACATACGAATATGAAACCGGTTTTTCTTTATCTCTAATGATTTTCAAGATCAGTGCGAAAAACTGGTTTATTCGTTTTCCCTATCATTTCCTATGCAAAAAATAAATATTTTAAATTACAACTTTTTATTACCAAATTCTTGTAGAGAATTCTTTAAGGATCAAGAATATGAAATCCTTTTTTCCGTAGCCCTTTTAAATCTCAAGATAATCGCAATTTAATCTCACCGCTTTCACGGGAAAATTAAAGAAATAAGTCCGATCCTGTTGTTCGACCGAAAATATTTTAAGAAAGTAAGTTCGACCCTGTTCTTCGACCAAAAACGTTTTAACAAAAAAGTTCGACTCTGTTATTCGACCAAAATGAAATTTATTGGACAAAACAGCAATATTCTTTCGTATTTTAAGACACTTCCCCATGGTTAATAAAGTTAAAAATGTATGCATAGGGTAGAGGAACTCTCGAACTTTAACATGAAGTTGAGAAACTTTACAAAAAATAGTTAGTTTAAGAGAAACACAGCGATTTCCACATCGCACATTTCCACATGTTTTCAAATTTTCACAAAACTGCCAACATTTGAAGGGCATTTCTGGGCAGTTCCAAAGGACCTAGATTGCTAAAATAAAATGCATCGTAAAGAGAGTCTGTGGGACTCTAATATGACGCTGAAAAACTTCAGGAAAGTCAATTAATTCAGGAGATACAGGATGTTTTTCACACTATGTTTTTAAATTTTTTGGAAAATGCTTATTTTGAAAGAGCATTTTAGCGCACTTCAAAAAGGGCTAAGAAGTTGAAAAGGTATTCAATGCGTAGTGGAACTCTCCAACTCTGCAATAGCAGTAAGAAATTTTGATAAAGTCAATTAGTTTACGAAATACAGGTTGTTTTCCACACAATGTTTATAAATTTTTTGAAAAATCCTTATTATTAAAGGGCATTTTAGTGCACTTCTAAATGGGCTAGGAAGTTGAAAATATATTCATTGAGTAGTGGAACTCTCCAACTCTGACATAGCAATGAGGAACTTTGATTATGTCAATTAGTTTACGAGGTACAGGGTGTTTTCCACACTTCGTTTTAATTTTTTTTTGGAAAATGCTAATTTTTTAAGGGCATTTAAAAACTCTTTTATGAGAAATCTAACTAAATTTACATACTAGTGCACACAAACTGACTTACACTGAAGTCACATGATTCAAGTGCATTTAGAATTTGTTTTCGTTGCTCTAAAACACATAAAATATGCGTAAAACTTTCACGCAACTTTTTTCACGCCAAATTTCAAAATTCTTTAAACACTGACTAGGTATATTATAATGATAAATTGTTTTTGTAGATGTCTAGATCATCTCGTATTAAAATAATAAATAGTAGAATGCGCTTATTATTCCGTCTATCATTTTGTTTCTATGCTGTCTCAGCCTGCCTATTCATCGAAATTGGGAAAGTATGCCGTGGCAGTTACAAACACGCAAGCAAATATGCAAACAAACATGCATGTGAAGCTAATATAAAGCGTGTAAAAATATGGGTAGCTACGCTCGCTCTTAATCAATCTCGGGACCAAACGGCCGTTTAGCCACTTGATACTTCATACGAGTATACTACTCGTATTTCGAGGTTTGTATGCAGGTACGGCCCCAAACCCCATCATAACAAATACAACAAAAATAATGATACTTATTTTAAAAAGGAAATTAGTAATAACTTTATAATTTCATTTATTGTAATATACTATTTCACACACCACCATTACGTATTTCAATAGAATATTATATTTTAATATTTTATGTTCATAAATGTTAAACTTTGGTTTCATATTTTCGTGAACGAAAAGTGTAATAAAACTGTGATCGGCGCGAAAAACCGGTGTCGGTGCTGGATGTAACACCATCGAGTAGGCCTTCATCAACACAACTGAAAAATATTCAATTTAAATCAATTTTGATTCATCAAGTTTTCGCTAAATGCAAAATTGTACTACTTGTACGTTACTGGGAATGTACGTTGAGAGGAGGATGTGTACATTCGCTTTGAAAAGGTATACATTCCCCAATGCGTTTGGTGATTGTGGATTCCCATCGGTAAAAATACATTGAACGCACATTAACCATTCTCGTCACATTCTACGCTACATGTTGGTAAATAAACGTTGAACAATGCGCAATATTGCTATTAGCTAACGACCGTACCATTTAAATTTATAGAAGTACATTTGTTGTACAGGTGTATGCAAGATATCGCTAAGCAATAAAAATGCCAAATCTGCCACAAAGATTTAATCTGAAGATGAATTGCAATTTCATTAACAGATCTATTATATTCGTATTGATAAGTTTAATAACAAAACATATCTATATTACGTGACAACAGAATGTAGTTGAACTTCTAAATATAAGATATCTAATGTAAGCACACAGTTCGAATTATAGAAGGTAATAAAAACTGTGAAATTATTATATATTTGAGTTGCCGAATTATATGGAAGGTTTGTACAGTTTTCCCAAAAATATAGTCTGTGGGGTATCGGAGCGCGCAGCGATCATATAGACAAATGGTTTATCAGCCTTGAAAACACTTGGTATAATGGCGGATTCAGTCATTATGATGATAGCTGGAATATAATAAGAAAAAACGCAATTATTTGCAGTTAGTTTTCATTTTGAGTTTGTTAATACATCAACCTTCCATGCATACGGGAAGAGTTTCGGACAATAAAAATAAATTATCCATGGGTAAATTCATTTATTTACTTTCAAAGAATTTGGGCCTGTTTGCCTTTAAATATAATAGTTTGTTTATGGCGCAAAATAAACGTGCAGGCATGATTCGCAATAAATGGTCGTGGTAAAAATGTCAAATATAAATTATAATCCAAAGATTAATCACTACATAGTATAAAGTAAAGTCGCTTTTTTTTCCGGTCCCTTTGTATGCTTAAATCTTTGAAACTACGCAACGGATTTTGATGCCGTTTTTTTTAATAGATAGAGTGATTCAAAAGAAAGGTTTATATGTATAATAACATCCATTAAATAGTGGAGAAGTACTGTTATTTTTGAGGTTTCTAATGTGTTGTCGTAAATACAAAGTTTTCGATTATTCCCGTCTCCTCTTTGTGCGATGCTTCGTAGCTTCCCCCCTCAAGCATAGACGTGTGTATGTGTGTACGTGTGGGTTGAAGTTGACCGGTTGATGTTTTTGTTTGGAGAAGGAGAGTCGCTTTCTCTATCTGTCCCTTTGTATGCTTTTTTACTTCCGTGCGAAGCCGGGGCGGGTCGCTAGTATTAAATAAACCCAAAATTGACTTCAAAGCCATTTTATTGGTATAACTCAATATATGTGACACTTATGACAAAACTAACTTTACTTTTTAAATAGTTTTGATGCATCCTTGAAATAGCATTGTATCTACGGATTCGTCAGGACTGTGAAAGATAAGTGCGAACATGAATGAGTGATCCGCTCTGAATTCTTCTGCAATTCTAAAAATCGCGGTTTTGCGCACCACAGTCACTCCTACAAACACATAAATGTATCTTTACAATTTCATTTTAAAATCAATACGAAAAGTTAGACACAAAGCAGAAGAGTTGCTTTAATCTCAAATAAAGAAAGAGTTATAAGGGCAGGTGTCTAAACTATTATTACAAACACAGATCATGCAATTTCAAGAAGAAAATATATTTTTCTACTTTCAGCTTTAAAGCGTCAGTTTTTCCACAGTTTTAAGACACGAAAAGAGGCACTTTAATCACGGTCGAGCAAGGCCGTGATTAAAATACATTAGCCACAGAGTAGAGCTTGCGCCTGTGCAAACGCGGCACGGCGTATTTTGTAATCTCACATTTCACACTAGTGTGCGAACGAAGTTTAAAAATACAAAAGCATAAATATT